AATTTCATAATTAGATGAGGTGTTTTACTGTTATCTGTTAAGAGGCATACAAAAGTACATAGTTTTTGTCTGAAATTATACATTTATTTTTTGAAGTCTTGCACAATGCAAACTGCATTATGCAAGTAACTTTTTTTTTGTGCATTCAACTATTCAGAATTTTCACACTTCCTGAGCTTTTTACGTAATTTAAAGTTTTCACTGCAGTAATGTTACATTTTGTGCAAAGTTAAATTAACTTTTTTGTCTTTCTTAGTATAAAACAGTTCATGAATAAATCAAGAGATAAGATTTTGCTGTAAGAATTGGGCCAAAATTGAAAACTTATGTCCAAGTTGAATTTAAGAGCATACTATAAATTCTAACTTTATATATCATCAAATGTGAGAATAATTAGTCGTTTAATACAGCTAAATTTATCAGATGAGGTGAGTGCCAATTCATCATCAGCTTCCATTCGAAAATCGGGGCAAAAGCATTGTGGGATAAAAGGGGACTTTTAGTGGCACTAGTTTGTCGATTCTGAAAACTTTTGCTCCTGCACATTATTTCATGCTCTGACAGTAAACAGTGTAATGAATTTTACTTTGGTTCTCAGTAATGACAAATATTTTCAAACAACCCTAAAATTTTTCCCCCTCTGTCCTCTTAGTTGCACTGTAATTTTTATGACTGAAATAATTTCTATTAAATAAGAAAAATGCATTCTCTGCTAGCTTTAAACTAAAAGTTATCACTTTTGCTGAGCAGTGCTAGTGACAACTAAAGAGGATGATATCTGTCTGTGATGCAGATGATTGCTTTATGGTGAAATGCAGGACGGAGACATTTGCTCAGACTTGCCTTTAACACAGAGAGAGAAACTTCTATGAATTGTTGAAATATTCTGTATCAAATGTTCATCTTAAGAAATTAGAAAATCAGGTTCTCTAAATTTCTGTGTATTGCTGATTTAGAGGTAAAATATACCAGTGTTTTGGAGTCAGTCTGCTTGAATTGCTGTTGCTGCGTTATTTTCTTCTGACACCAGTCGTTACATTATTTTCTTCCTTAACGTTCGTGCAGGGTTCGTAAGGATTTGGAGTGAATAATGACAATACTACTTGATGAAGTATAGAAACACTTTTTATTTGCCAATATTAATCAGGACAGCTCCAAAACACTTTTACAGTCGTCGAAGATCTACTATACACTCGCTGGAACAATCAGTGACACAGTCTTCTGGCTATCAAGGTGAAGGCAACTTCACTGCAAAGCACCAGAGTACAGCTTCCGACTCTGCTTTTCGTTCTCGGAACTCCACGTACTCTCGAGACTCTCCACCCGATGCACTCGACAATACACAAGAGTACGGCTCCCGACTCTTCGGTTCAGTCGTTCCCGGAGCTTAACACACTTTCTCGACAATACACTAACCGTGATATGCTAGGAGACTCTTCAGTGCACTCGATGACCAACTCGGTGCTAGACTTCGAGACACTCGCTCAATGACTGACTATCAGCTCACTAGACGAGGCACACACTGCCCGGCTGTTAACTCGATCGACTTCGCACGGACTGACTAACTCGAGACTAACTATCTCGCACTGTAGACGAGGCACTCTCTACTCGCCCTCTCGACAAGGCACACACACACACTAACTGCGGACCAGCAGGGTTTGTATAGCTTTCGGGTTGTGTTCGAGAACATTTTGGGCTAAACTGGTGAGAATTCGTTCCAGAAATTTCTCCATCTGTCCATGGTATATTGCCCATTTTGTCACCAAATGAGCGATTTCTCGTCAAATGTGGCAACCCTGCCTTCCTTTGTCATTTTATGTCAACCCTAAAACTGCTTTGCGGGGAAGCTATCTTACTGCTCGCTCCTGTACATTTCGTAACAATATTAAGAAATTAGAAAATCAGGTTCTCTAGATTTCTGTGTGTTGCTGATTTAGAGGTAAAATATGCCAGTGTTTTGCATGCCTAGTCAGTCTGCTTGAATTGCTGATATTATAATAGTGTATAATTAAATAAATAGTGTATTTTTTTTTTCCTTAATTAGTTGCAACATATATATGTTATGCTTTGTTAAATATAGTTCCATTGATTATGTATGATAAATAAAATTGGAAGGAAACGAAATATGGAACTTATATCAACCTCTGTAATTTGTCTTCCAGTTTCAAATTTCTGAACATTTCTAAAATACTGAATTTATTTTGTAATTTGATTTTCATTAAAAATTAATGCAAAAAAGTTAGTTACTAAATTTTCAAACATTTTTGTGTTTTAAAGTTTTCCTTATTTTATAATTAAAAAAAGAAAAAAATGTTTTTGTTAGCTTTGAAATCCAGATACTGAAAGTAAAAGTGTCAACATGAAATAAATTTATTTAGTAAAAGGAGTTATGTCAAATATGAAGATAACATACTTAGAATATTTTGATAAACCTTGAAATTATATGGCAGAATTTATTATGGAATGTTTTATAATTTCTTCCTCTCAGCTCTCCTGTGGAATCGGTACTCTTTTATGCTATAACCACTCTTCACAACCTGCTACTTCATCAAGAAGGATCTAAAATGGCAGTTCGTTTGGCTGGTGGTCTGCAGAAAATGGTCACATTACTACAGCGTAATAATGTAAAATTCTTAGCGATTGTTACTGACTGTCTGCAGATTTTGGCATATGGAAATCAGGAAAGCAAAGTGAGATTTTTTAATGAATTTTATAGTTTAGTATAATTGAATGAATTATTTTTAGTTTTTATTTTCATGACTATACAGGGTTTGTACGGTCCTTAGATTTTTTTGAATCGATTTTTGGTCCTTTGGCCAAAATTCCTTAATTTTAATCATCTGAAATTTCTGTTTCTACGACTGCCATTTTGAGTGTGAATCAGCATTTTAGAGGCATATATTTGACACTGACATATATAGTTATATTTTGAATGCGTTCATGGGTTATAATTTGTTTCTATTTCTAATATAAATGATGGGATACTTGAGTTCCTAAGCAAGAAGTGAAACATAAACATTTCAAAATTCATTTTTTCTAATAAAGAGCTCTTAAACAACTTTTCACTTTTGGGGATGTGAATTCTTTTATTAAACGGTTCTAAATTTGGCGACTTATCAATATTTTGGCGATTTTAAGATCAGTTTCTATAGAAAATTTTTAATTCTGAGATCTGAGAATTTTTTGATGATTTTTTTTTAAACATTGTAACATTGATAAATTTCATTAAAATAATGGTAATATATTGAAATTATATTTAAAAAATAACATTAAAATAAAACATTTTTATTTTTCGCTGTCATATTATAAAGTTTCATTTTGCTGTCAACTTATATTTTGAATCTGAAAAATAAACAAGGTGTGATGCTATAAAACACAATTTACGGAACAGCTCTTGGAAAAAGCAAAATTAGCTATGTAATTAATTAAAAATGTCTTCTTTTTAATTTTTTTTACAGTAAGAGTTTTCCCCATGTTAATTGTCTTAGAATATGCATCAGTTTTCTCTATAAAATTAATTTTACACTTTTTCCTGCCCTTTTTGTTCCAAAATATTTCTGGCTTTTTGCTGTTACAGAATTGGTAGGGATAATTTTTCTTTAGGATTTTAAACATTGCAATTTGGAAAGTTTAGTAGGGTTTGAAGGCAAGATTATTAGACACACGATTCTAGAAGGTTCAAGAAATATGTGACAAAATGAAAAATGTCTCCATGGTATCAACACATAATGGATGTATTTTACAGAAAGTTTGCGATGAATATCTTACTTTTTGGAGAACATCTGGAAGAACAATGTAAACATAATATTTGAATGTTTTACTTCTGATTCTAGAATTTTTTCTTAATGTGTTTATCTTCTCTTTGTTCTGGTTCTAAGTTCTTTTTAAATAAGAGGCTTATTTAAACCTTTATCTGATATTGTAGTCACTTTCAGCCATAGCAAGAATTTGCTTCACATCTGTCGGGGGGGGGGGGGAGTTTGGACTAATTAACTGTTACCAGATCAAGTAAACCCTCATAGGTACATTGCGGAGAGGTTGACAAGTTAGGAGATAAAGCATGCAAAAACTAGCAATACCATTGGTTTGGATATTGAGACAATTCTCTAATTTCTAATTGTTAGAATCTCTAATTGTAATAAAAGATGCTTAAAGAGAAGGAAATCAATATAAACCAGCCAAAATGTTTGGGAAGGCTTCAAGTTGAAATGACAGATAGATATTTTGTTGAGTGTTGTTACGAAACATAAATGTTTTGTAAACGATATTAAATGTTTTGTAAACAATACCTAAACGATATTAGGATAATTACATAATGTTTTGTCGCTTATTTATGTTTTGTAGCTTTTAATGTGTAATTATCCTAATATCGTTTAAGAATCAATGTCATATATTACATGTATTTTAAACTGTGAAATTTTATTATATCATGATTTTAATAGGGCCTTTTTTAAAAAATAATTAAGATTTAATAGTGCCTTGTAAATCTATATTGACTAAGGTTATCTAACTACCTAATTTAATTATTTATAACTTAACTGCTTATCCTTAAAAATTATCTCTGCGTATTAAAGCGAGTTATTGAATTTCATTAATCCTTATTGTGGTACAAGATAAAACACAAAAATGTAAAAATTCATGTAAAACTTATTCCTTGCATTTGTGAGACTTAAAATAATACAAAACAACTTATCACCTCTGGTGCTTTAGTGCCTTATTAGAACCTTAATGTATATTAACTGGGTTACAACCCCTGGAACTCTGCACGAAGCTACGACACTAACTGCATCAAACAGAGCCTGACTAACTTTCAACACTTGCCAACCGTGCCTACATCAGACCTTTCAAGTTTGTTGTAATCAGCAGGTCTCTCTAGACAAGCAGCTGCGGTGACATTGTCTTTTGTTATAAATCATGCTGATTATGATCTTACTTCTCATTTTAACCTATGCTGTTTGACATAAAATCTACCTGCTATTCACTAAACCTCTAGACTGACCAAGTATGTGACAAAATGAAACATAAAATAAGTAAATAAATAAATAAAAAATCAACATAAAACGAACTGTTAGTAAAACGTAATTGTCACTTATCTTCTTTTAAATATGTCCAACTATTATAAGTGTAAAATAATTAATGCTACTTGATAAATTGCATAAAGTTTATTTTATTCTCAAACTTATTAATATTTTTTTTTAAAATTCATGTTTAGTAATAATGCATATTACTTAGGGATCTATTTTATTTTTAGGATGGTATAACAAATGTGAAATTTCAGGCATAGATAATATTTTTAATTGAATTTATTCAGTTCCCATTTGCTCATAGGTCCTTAATTGTTTTCATTAATGGTCCTTAAGAGTATCTAATTTCCGTGTGCAGAAATGTGTATGAACCCTGCTATAGCGTTATGTAATTAGGATATAAAACCAGAAGAGTAGTGACTTCTGTGCCAGATTATTATAAAATATCCCAATACTGTCAGGTATGTGCCATATGCTGACGTAAAAGTAAGGCTTACAAATGCACAGTTTACAGAAGTAGGATTTTGGGTAGTTTTGGTCATTTTTGACTGTGACTGTTAGAGTAAGGTTTTTTTTCTTTTGATTGTATTAAAATTATATACCAAATTGAAATTCTATGAAACTGGTGAAGCTGATTTTTAAAATTTTTTGTTTAGGTCTTGTGTTTTTTTGCTCAATTAGTGTATTATTTCTTTCATGACAAAAATAAATAGGCTATTTATCACATTTTATTTTTTCCCTACCATGTTTATATGGAACCACGTGGTCTCCATATTTTATGTGGATTATTAGCAAATATGACTAAAATAGTGGAATTTATTTTTCATTAAGCAGATAAATATGATGATGAGTATCATTTTCTTCAAAATCAATATCACAGTCGATTTTGCAAATCTACTGATGGTGATTCATTGATTTTCTTGTTCATTTCATATGCTTTCATCAAACTTATGATATGGTATTTTGCATAATTACCAATAGCAGAAATGATTATTTTACCCATTATTTTCTTTATTTTTTCCTGCCATGTTCTTATGAAATCACATAGTTTTGTTTAAATATAAAGTGTAAATGTGTGTGTAGTAAAATGTAAATATAAAGTAAAGAAAGACAAAAATAAGGAAATTTGTACTTCCTTATACGAAGTAAAAAGGAAGTATTGTAATCGCGAAAAGTTTCAGGCAGCGTATTTCAACGAAAATATCCATTTTGAGCACTTTCGAATGCAATTTAACGATGTATTTGCGTGATATCTCTACGCAAGGACAGAATAAAATTCTCTTTTCCTCCAAAAAAAAAAAATTATTATAAAACTGCTTTAAAATTAATTCTGAAGAGCATTTTTCGTGGCGTCTGTACGAACGTATGTACGTACATATCTCGCATAACTCAAAAAAACTTAGAAAAAAAGAGAAACTTAGCTTCGCAACAACAAAGATAACGCGCCTTCATTTATTGTTTCCAATTAAATCGTGCTTAATAATTTCTGGAATTTTTTCGAGGAAATAAGTGTTTAAGATTTACTGTGTAATTTTTAATATAGATATTTTGAGTTTTTATGTATTTTTGCCTTGTCGCGAAATGAGAACTGAATTAATGGAATGAGAAATACTAAATCGTCTGTGAGAAACTGTTTCTTTTTTGTGTTGTTTGCTTAATTTCTTTTATACATCATTCTAGCTTTATTATAGTATTTGAATAGAACATGTGGCAACAATTAGATAATTCTTTAAATGATATAAATTTTGTGTATTCTGAGTTATAATACAAACAAACTATAATACTGTTAAGTGAACCTAGTGCCAGAGTGTTGCCATGGTAAACAAATAAAGTGAATTTTAAAGAATGTGTTTATTTTATTGTGGTTTATGCGCTGTCGGCGAAGTAGGTTCAATCCAATAAGTTTAAATGAAATGCAAGAAAAAATGCGTATAATTTAATATTCCGTACAAGGAAGTCATGTGGTGTATACATCAGATTTTTATTTATTTCACTGTTGCAAATAAATATGTTAATGCATAGTTTTTATCACAAAATGTAAATTTTATATGCAGTTTTGAGCATCCACTGTTTTTCAGAGGTGCGACAGATTTATAACAACTCAATGATTTACCTAAAAGGGCAGACACTTGCCCAAAGTCCCCGTTTTTCATAAAGATTCCAAAGTTAGACGATACCTTGTTTAATTAATGAATCAGTAACTGAAATGAAAATCGAACTTGCATAAGGATGCCAATAATCAGTTTCAAGATAGAAACTGATCTTCAGTTTGTGCACGTTACCTCCTTTATGTCTACCCATTTTGGAATTAGAGATCAACAGCAAAGTAATAAACACAATAACCAAAATGTAAAGGCTAAGAATAAAACAAAAAACTGAATGCAAAATCTGATGACAAAAATGTAAAGAAATGAGATCCCATATATTCTATTATTTCCATATCCCTAATTTCCAGTACGAACAATTCTTGCTTAAATAGTTTTATAAACGAATTTGTCAACAGAATTTCAGTTTATGTTTACAATTAAATGTTAAGGTTATTATATATTTAGGTAATATTTATAATCATTATAAATTTAGTTATATTTATATATAGTTTAATTATATATAGTTTAATTATATATAACTAGATATCTTGACAGTAACGTTCACAGGAGTTCATGAAG